CACACACACACACACACACACACACACACTTCAAATGGCCTTCAAGAGTCCTGCATTCCACATTTAATTGGAAGAAAGAAGAAAAAAAATCACAAAAAAAAGGAGCACACGCCAAAGTAAACTTCTCACAGCCAATCAACTGCAGAGGCCAAATTTCTGAAGCCCCGCCCACCAGAAACAAACAGATAGCCTATTGTTGATCATCAAACACACAAACACACGCACAGCAAGGAAACAGAAGACGATGCTGCCGCACCGACCTCAACCAGCGGGGTCCAGTCCTGGTTCTCGAAGGTCCCCCATCCTGCAGGTTTCTCCACTTTCAGGCTCCTGCAGAACATGAAGAGGTTGTTTAATCAGTGAATCGAGCGCGTTGGAGCAGAGAAACGAGTCAAGCATGCAGGATGACGGCTCCTCGAGGACCAGGATTGGACACCCCTGACCTAAACAAACAAAACAAGTGCAAAATAAATATTTCTGGACTTTTCACCTGCTTTTATTTCAAAACAAATAATCATGCCTCCGTCCTGACTTTGTGGATGTTTTCTTCTAAATAAACGGGCAGAATTAAAAAACTGTGTGTTTTGGTTAATATATATTTTATATAAACATGATTTTGAAGATGCCACAGAAGATCCTCACAATCTGTGACCCCCTTCAAAATAAAAGTACAGAATAATGTGATTTTTCAAAAATAAAAATATTTTTCTCCCTTCCATGTTCTAAATGAGGCTCCGCATTCTTTAAGGTGTTGCGTTTTCACTTTTCTTTCCCTTTCTTTCACGTCAGATGGAAATAAAACTTGTCCAACAAACGCTGCGGCGCGTTTGGGATTATTTAATTCACAGGAAACGTGACCTGACATTAAAACGACAGCAGGCTCGCGCGTCAGGAATTACATCTGTGACAAAATGTAAGAAAAAAATGTAAAAATACATTATTGTTTTTACTGTATTTGTGTTAAACATATTATTTGTTTTATTTATTTTTTTTAATCACAGCTGCTGCTGTTTCCCTTCTCCCGCCACATTCTCCCATAATTTGGGGCATTTGTTTTTGTTGCGGCGCTCCTAATGTTTTAAAGCGTGATTTAAACTCCAAAATAAATAAATGTGCGTCTGAATCCAATCTGGATTAAAACGTTATAATTGTGAGCATTTATCCCCCCGCCCCGCCACCACCCCCAAAATCCACCCCTTTTTTTAAGAGGATGTTGAGTTTTAACACACACACACACACACACACACACACACAGGGGAGGGGAGGGGGGGGGGACATCTGTGCTGAACGCTGACCAAATCCGTGGTGACTTTGCTCACAATACAATTTTGTTGGGAGTGTTAGAATTTGTTTCAAGTTGATGGCACAGCCTCCATTTTGAGTTGACTTTGATATCATTCTGCGAACAGTGAAATGTCTGGATAAGTGTTGCGTTTAGGCCAGCCATCTGTACCATCTCCAACTCCAAAGCAGTTAGAGGCAGAGCACCCTCCAACGGGGAGGGAGGGGCGGCGGGGGGGCACCGAAAAGGGACGCGGCCGGGCTTTTCAACGGTTCACTGCTGGCATCTACTGGAGGCGGCGGGGAACCCAACGAACTGCGACCTGAGCCTCGTCTGTGGAGGTGAGGCGTCAACTGATGGATGTCAAAAACACACGTGATAAAAGTAAAGCTTCAGTTGATCACATTTATAAATCTAAATCTGAATTAAAACTTTTAAATCCAAGTCTAAAACTACACTGGCGTTTTAAAAAAAATGCAAATAAGTTGGATAAATGTCCGATTCATTGGTGCGTGTTTCATAAATAAAGTGATTCAAGAGTTATAACTTCCTTTATTTCTTTTCTAAATTAAATATTAAAGGTTTTAGAGCAGCGGTTCTAAAAGCTGAGGCCAAAAACACCAAATCCAGGATACTAAAATGATCTCTAGAAACCAAACAATATAATAAAAATTATCCTTTTTTATATAAAAAGAATAGGGATAAATAAAAAAGTCCTATAATAAGGGTTAAAGCAGGTCGGCTAATTTGGGTTTTTCTACAGCCAAAGCCAAGCTTTTGTTTTTATTTTTTTTAATAAAATGTGTTTTTATTTAACATAAAGTTTAAACATATATTTCACCCCCTTTAGAAGAACTTCAACATTAAAAACAAACATAAAAGGAGCACAACGAGCTGGTTGTAACGTCTTCATTTTCCTTTAGTAACTGATTATATTTGTGCTAATAAATCAGTTAAATAATATATAATCAATGTAAGTCTAGATAAAGCTGTTTGTGTCGTCATTTTGCTCTTATTTAATTCCTTTCTTAAGTAAATTTTTATAGTTTGACGGAGGATATTTGTCCACACAGTCTATTTAGGAAATAAATGGTTCAAAATGGTAAAAATAAAAAGTTATTTCTGATCTAAAACTGGTTTTATGTTTGAAGTTTATTTGGTATTTTATACAAACATCTTAATTAGAACAAAACAAAACTCATATGGTTGAGCAGAAAGCCATGTTTATTTCTTTACATACATTTATGGTCAAATTTATAATTTATTGTTTATTATTATTACAAAAACTATTATTGTTTTGCAGCTATAGTAACATAATTTTTATCTACTTTGTTTTAAAAGTGCTTTGTCATCAATGTAATTGTTGAGACTTATAAAATGTGGAAATAAAAACGCTGATGATCATTTAATTAAAGATAAATAAACATATTGATGAAGACGTCGGCAGAAGACTTGTTCATCTTTATGTTTCTACGATGACTCGGGGAATCGCTCCTCGCTGACAGAGGAACGCCAGGAAGAGAATAATTGTCTTTTGTCCCTCTTTCTGTCTCTCTGGAGAACAATTCTTATCTAATTCTCGTAATTGTCTCCTCATAATACGACGCATTCACATCCGGGCGCAGGCATTCAGCTCCTCGTCTGTTTAGGATGCCGTGGATGGAGTTGGAAAGTTCATCCGTCACAACGAAGAACAAAGAAATCCCCTATCTGTTTCAGAAACGTCGCTCTCTCACGACGCCGAGCGAGCGAGACAATGACACTCGTCGCCTGCTTCATAATACCGCCCTGTGTTGACGATAATTCTGAAACAGAAACAAACTCCAGACAAAGAGGGATTGTCTTTGATTGTGTGTCCGTCAGCGCCGTCAGCGATGGCTCGGRGGATAACGGTGATTGAGATTAAAACCCCCGCTGAGGGGAAGGAGAGAGGGGGCGAGGAGAGGAGTGAAAAGTGGAGAATAGAAGTGACTAGACTAAAAGAAGAGCTCGGTGACGAGTGCCAGCCAGCAGCCTGTTTGATCCTGAGGGATGGCAGGGGGATGTAAGGCGTTTGAAGCCGACAATCCCTTTGTGATGATAACACATGTTTTTTTAGCGTGAGCGCTGATCCTCTCGTTCCAATTGTATTACGGGCGGCAGCTGCCCGGGCACTGTAGCGCTGCCGCTAATCTGAAACAATATCTCTAGGCCCGGCGTGGTTAGAAGCAGCTGTCGGCATTGTAGGGAAGCACTTCTAATCTGCTTCAGTATCTTTTAGCCTCTCRTTTAGCTCTTTGATCCTCTCCTATTATGCCTCCCTCTCCGTCGCAGCGAAGCACCGAGCCTGGCAGAGCTGTGCTGGAATGCTCCGACGCCCGTCACTGTGAGCGACCAGGGGAGACGTTCAGYAACCTCACTGATCACAGCGTAGGCCCCTTTTTATACTGTTAAACACTAACATAGTGTTCGAGCAAATCAGTGGTCTTGAGGTGGTTCTTTGACCCTTTTGGCCCCAACATGCTTCAACCAGAACCCCGGATCTGAAAGATTCTGACTCTCGTCCCAGACKCTTCAGACTCAGCTGAAGGTCATGACATCGTCTGCATAAAGAATGAACGAGACGTTCAGATTATGCTGCGTTCACATCGAACGCGATTTCAGCTTCAAAATCGCAGCCAACGCTGAAGTTGGACGCTTGTGCACTTTGAGGTCAGACGCAGGTCAGCTCTTGAAGTGCTGCACGGCAASAGSCTCCCCGCCCCTCCCTCCTCTGTCGGGCTCTGTTTAATGTCGGACGAGGAAGTGGCTTTGCTTTATTTACAGAGAGCAAGAGCATGTCACGTTCATCAGATAATTAATTCATAATTAATTCACCAGATAATTCAGAGACATTCTGAGTTTCATCACCCAGGAGCTGCGGGAGAGGCTCACAGCTCGCTTTCAGGACTATTTTTGTCCCGAGTCCAGTCTGATGAGCCGCTGCCACACATTGGTGAGGATATCTCCTGTCAGGACACCGACTGCAGGCACTCGATTTCAGCTAAAGAGCTCCTCTCCATCTGTTTCAGGTTAGTGGACATCATTCAGTAAACTGTCCCGTCAGGAAATATGTCGCTACGTCACACAGTGGAGTCTCTCTGATTGGTTGACGCGGCGCGTCGAGCTGTAAAAGTTCAGATTTTCTAACTTCAGCKATTTGCGCCTGAAGCACGTCGAACGCTCAGATCGTTCAAATCGCGCTGCTCTAATCGCGCTTGAGGCGCCGCAGCACTTCCCGACGTTGCTTGAAGCGCGCCCACCATAGACTTTGCACGTAAACCTGAGGCTCCTGATGCTGAAATTGCGTTTGGTGTGAATGCACCATTAGAGATGTGACGTTCACGAACGATCCGAATCTTTTGAACGGCTCTTTACAATGAATGATAGGAGCCGGATCGTGGGTAGTAATGAGTCATTTGTAGTTTTATTTCTTTTATTCTTCATATAATCTTAAATTTTTTCATACTAAAATGACTCCCGCTTTGCCTTTTCACAGAAAACAGGCGGAGTTGTGGTGTACAGAAGATCACGGTGAGGGGGGAAGGGGGGTTTCCGCTTGACAAACACATGGTTCCACCCACGTGAAGGGATGACGTCATTACGTACGGCTACGTGATGACGTAATACGTTCAAAATCGAACGGCTCTATAAAACAAACGGCTCCCCAAGATCCGGATCCCTTCAAAAAGCCATTTATCCCRTCTCTAGTTCGGATCCATCTCCTCCCGTCCACGAGCATCACCCTACAGGACTGGAGATGACGAGCAGGCGAAAGAAGCTCAACTTGATGAAAATGCAAACTCAGAATCCTGCTTTGATTATGCATGAACCAGATCGCCACAAGTTCTTTAAAAAAATGAAAATGGCTCCTGCAAAACTTTTAATTATATAAATTTATTTGGATTTATGAGATTGGAGCTGATTAAAGATGGCAGCAATCCACTTTGGCTCATCAATCTGCTCAAAACAAACCTTTATTTCTACAAACTATTGATTCAGCTTCAGTTTCTCGCTAAATGTAGTGGATTAAATTGACTGTAATTGTGTTGTTTTACAATTAAACTTCACAATTCACTGTCAAAATGTGAGCTTAAGAAGAAACTTTACTTCTTTAACTGAGCGGAACTTTGTTAGTTCCATTTTCCTGCACAAACATGGGTTAAAAAGCTTTGACTTGACGTTGGAAATGAACAGAATAAACATATCTGAGAGATTTTAAATTGTGCTTAATTGTTGTTCTTAGTTTTGCTTTTTAAATGTGTTTCATATTCTTATGATATTTTCCTTTATAGTGACTTAATTGTACTTAGTGCTGCCTATCTTGGCCACTCAAGCTTTTTATCTCAGTGGGATTTTCCTGGTAAAATAATAGGTTTATAATAAAAATAAACTGTTCGTATTGATACTTTTATTTTATCTTTTATTTTAAATGATAAAGCTGTAGTTATTTTGGTTAAACTGTTCAAATAGACTCAGACTATTAGTTAGGGATCTCTGTCAGCTACTAAAGCACCAAATATTAACACAAAGTTTGTAAAATAGTTTGAGTTGTAATCATTTTTGTGCAAAATTATTAATAAATCATCAATAGGGTGATGACTGACACGGATTCTTTCTACCTTTACCTGCCACATACATTCACTTACTTCCTGTTTCTTTATTCCAAGTTCACGTCGTCAGTTTTTAAAAAGTGGTCAAGTTCRCTGAGAGGCATCAGATGAAAACCTGATCAGCGCTGGATCGACCTCAGGGGCTCATTATCAGAAAGAAACAAGATCTAAACTAAACCACCGTCTTTTAACAGCTTCAGCTGAGCCAAACAGTAAGAAGTGATGAGAATGTAAGGAGATAAAGGTGTGTGTGTGTGTGTGTGTGTGTGTGTGTGTGTGTGTGTGTGTGTGTGTGTGTTCTGACAGGTGTTGAACCAGGTGCATCCTAACC